TCTGCGTGGAGCATCTGAAATTGCGTACCAGACGAGTTCCACTGCCACTTCCACTTCCAGAAAGAGAGAGAGAGAGAGAGCGATCCCAGAACGGGGTAGAGTAGAGTAGAGGCACAGCTGTTGCGAAAACTTTTGCCTCCTGCCTCATGCGGTTTGTGTCCCAGTTCACCCGATCCATAGGTGGCTCCTTTCACTCGGAATCAACAGCAGCAGCAACGGCAGCAACGGCAGCAGAAGGCCTAATCTATCCAACGGAAAGTTGATCGCAACTGATAGCCAGCCATTCAGCTAGTCAGCCGTCGCAGCCATTGATACCCTTTGCACTCCTCCATCTCCATCTACCACTTCCATCTATGTATGAGCCTCTCCCTGGGATCTGGGATCTCGGATCTGGTATCGGTCTGCTGTTGATGATGGCATGATGTATGTCTGGGCATTGGTATGGGACAGGGGTAAGGGGTATGGGGTATGGAACAGGGGTCTGAGTGCGTGCCTCATGATATGGGCGGGAGATAGCGAGCACCGCAGCGCCGCAATTGATGGCATTAGGCATTAGATAAGAAATCAGACATTTATGGGCACAAAAGGCGAACGGAGCGGCGCGGTACCAGACGGCATTTGTGGTTGCAACAGCAACAGCAGCAGCAACATCATCATCAAGCTTCCTATCGGCGAGCAGGAGCATCCTCATTAATGGCTTAGGGGTTGGAGGTACTTCCTCTAAGGGTTGCAGTAGCAGCAGCAGCAGCAGCAGACGCAGCCAGGGACCTTCTAGTGCACTTTCGTGTGCCGAAAAACAGACGAAAATTCAAATGAGCCCTCAATGGAGGTTCTAGAGATTCAAACAGCCACCTAGATCTTACCTAATTGGTTGCTCAATGGACGGGAGCACATCAGAATGAATCGTCTTTAATTCGAAACCCTCTCTCACACGAGCCAAGATGGGGACCTGGGCTGGGGCTGGCGCTGTCAACTTCAAAAGAGCCTTTCAAATGGTATTTTAAGCAACACCTAGGGCCGAAAGGGAACACAAATCTACCTGAAGCAGGACACAGACCAGAGAACAGAGAACAGAGACCAGACACCAGAGACGGGCGAGCGACTATCGCAGACAAATTGGCCATATCCCATAACCCACATGGACAGACAGACAGAGAGACACACGTGCAAAGGCCGCCTTTGATTTTCTAAGCGAATTGTTTCAAGAAAACCCACAGAGAACGCACCAGAAAACCGGAGTACGAACCGTCCCGGGGCAGGATGACAATGTCTAAAAGGATGAGAACGAGAATGAGGAAGGTTAAGAGGACGAACCCGAAAAGGCTTGCCAGCAGGACACACACGAACAGAGAGAAAGAGAGAAAGAGAGAGAGGGAGACATGTGCTTCAATTAATTTGATTTGCGTCCGGGAAGGGGTCCGTGGCCGGGGTCCAGAGTTGAGTCCCGGAGTCTCGAGTCCGGAAACGGGAACTCCACTTCACTTTATTTTGTCAACCCATTTCGAATTTTTTTCGCTTCGTCTGATGCTGCTGCTGCTGCTGCTCGAGACCACTTGGGCATGCCTCAATGGTCACAGAAGATGGCCAACTATGCTTTGAACTATGATGAAACTAATGGCAGCAGACGTTGCCGCTGACGGCCGGGCCCCCAATTCCCCGTCCCCGAACCTCGACCTCAACGAAGAGAACATTCTGCCTCACTAAGCACTCCCTGCCTCTCCCTCTCTGGCGAGTGCGGGGGCAAACTCTGGTTGTGGGCCTCATTCGTGGGCTGTCATTCAGCTAATTGGCAAAAAGTGTCCCGAACTTCAGTTGCAACAATTAAACGCATTGGGCAACACCTAGCTGCCACAGCCGCCTCGCTCTGGCCTCTGGCCTGTGCCTTTTGTGGGCACAGGAGCAGGAGCAGGGGCAGCGGCAGCGGCATGGGCAGGAGCAGGAGCAGGAGGACGAGGACCCACCCCTTTTCGGGCTGGTTCATCATTAAACCGCATTAGGGGGTTGCTTTGGCCGCAACATGGCCGACTAACACGCACACTCTGGCAGAGACAAAGACAGAGAGAGAGGGAGGGATTGAGTAAGAAAGACAGAGAGAGGCCCACCGACCGACCGACCGACCGACCGACCGCTACAAAAAGGGGGCGTTTAAAAACGCGCGCGCGTTTTTTGCCGCGCTAAGTGCATTTCAATGTACGAGAAAAGCCGCTTCCGTTTCCGTACCGCTTTGGGGCAAGATACCCAAGTAGTACGACAAAAAGAAAGGAATGCCACAACGGGGAGTGTCGAAGCCGGGAATACCCTCAAAGAACCAACTAATAGAAATACCTAAAAGAAAGAAAATGAACTAAAGGTAGCCTATGAAAAAAAGCAGTATCTAAAAGGATTGCCACGATCTTGGAGCTTCCAACCGATAAGCCGATCTTCCCATTCTAGGGTATTCATCGAACAACGACGAGTACATTCGTGGGTACTCCTTGTCACAATTATGGGTTTTATGGGCTCTAGAATCGACGACTTTCTGTTGTTTTGACACGCAGCCAGCGAGCGCGGGCTGACCCCTCTCTGACCGCAAAAAGTGTTAAATTATAGACTTTGATTCTCTAGTTCTCTATCACATGGTTATTATATGATTATAACGCTTTTGAGAGCCTGCACAGCTGTGGCTTAGACCTCGGACCCCGTACCCACTCCTACAACGCCCCGTGCCCCGTCCCCACCCCCAGCCGCCGGCAAAGGAGCCAGCCCAACGAAGGGGGTGTACGGGTACCAGCACCGGCACCACACGCAGCGTCGGCGTTTTGGGCGTTTGAACTAAGCGAAATTAATGGCCAACACAGGCTACTTAGCAGAGGCCCACGCACACAGGGAACAGGGAACAGGGTACCCAGGGAACCCAGGGAACCAGGAGATGGAGCCCTTGTTCGCTGTGCGATTTATGACTTGGCATGCAAAACAGAGAGAGAGAGAGAGAGATAGAGAGACTGAGACTGAGAGAGAGATGGAGAGGAAAAGCACACAGCACAGTGAGAAGGCGGAGCACACCAGACATGACAAAAAAAGCTGCATGGCGCCCGCCAGCGTTGCCCCATCATCATGATGATGATCATAACCATGATCATCATCCCCAAGTCGCATGATCGTCATTATCCTCATCGTAGGCAAACGAGTCACAACGGGTGGCCCCAGTCCGGGTCCGGGTCCGGGGCCCCCGGGACTCTCTGGGGTCTGATCAATAAAAATGAAAATTTGCCCAGCAGTTGATGAAATTTACGCGATCGGCGTCGGCACAACTACAAAGTCAAAAGCGGCCTTGGAAGCGCGGCCATCAAATGAAAAGTCCACCGACAATTTGCTTGGCGCCCAGCCCTGGCACCCTGCACCCCACCCTGCAACCCCTATCCAGGGGCTTATCCAACGACTTGGCTTGGCCGTCGTGGTCCTCCACCTCCTCCCCTCCTACATGCGTGTGAGAAGTTTTAGATAAGCGCGGCGCTTCGCTGCAGAATACTTCAAAGTGCAGGCCCGGACTGCGACTGCGACTGCGTTTGCGACTGGGACTGGGACCCGAGTCGCCTCGCGTAGCGTCGCGTCGCATCGCGGATGCCATGCAAATTTACGTTGATAAGAAAGAAGGGGATGTGGCAGTGGCTGTGGCAGGGGGTTAGACGGGGGCCCAAATGGGCAAGTGGCCACCGCTGACAGATTGCAAATGGAGCGAGCGGTGGCAGGAGGAGGATGCCCGCACTCGCACTCGCATTTGAAGTGGAAGCCAAAGCCAAAGCCAGTCGCTTGTCGCTTGTCGGCTGTCGAGTGTTAGGTGCCGCCCAACACACTGCCGTTGCCGTTGCTGTTGCTGTTGCTGTGGCCGTCGTCGCAGCTGCTTTGATATGGGGGATATATGTAGATAAAGTTTGCTTTGATGTTCGCTGCTCGATTGGATCAGCGGATCAGGGGATCAGCGGATCAGTTAGGTGCCTTTGAATAACTCCGCTACGACACGCCGAATCGCGCTGATGGAAAGGCAGACGTTAGATAGCCATTTCCTTTTTGCGCAGCACACGAATCTTCCCATCTGCGAGATCCATGGGATCCCCGATCATCCAAGATATACGATGGCTCCGAGTTCCATTTTTCTATTGCTTCAAATTGACTCCGGGAAGGAAAGTCCCACCCGCTTCGAACCAGCACTCAGAAACTCAATTTTAAAGATTCCGAATTTACTCCTAATAACTCCGAATTTACTAACTATAAGAAACTTCATGTAACCTTCACAATATTTAATATTTTCATATTTTACAAAACATTATTACTCTTAACCGACTCAGAAAATAGTGAAATACCCCAACAACTACGAAATTGTTATTTTTCCATCATAAATTAAATTGGAATGTCTCCAAAATTTTCTCCGAATCAACTCCGAAAACTCAGAATTTAATAACTGTTAGAATTTCTCCTAATCGACTCCGAAAATAATGAAATATGCGAAAGCTTTCCAATGATTTTCCATCCTACATCATAAAATCAATTTGAATGACTCCGAGTTTACTCCTAAACAATTGGAAAAATAATTTTTTTATCAGAATACACAATTTAATGACTCCGAATTTACCGTTAATTTACTACTTGTCCCTTCCTAAAAACTCCTAATGTGGCAACAATCAGCCTTTACTCCGAAAATAGGGAATACCCAGAATATAATAGTAAAACAGATGGAAACAGTCAATTTATTCCTATCTTCAATTACCATTGTCCCCTAGTACATTGCCAACATTGAAAATGTATGAAAATCACTCCGAACTTACTCCGAAAACAGAAAAAAGCGAAGAAAAACTACACATCTCGATGAGGGAAAGATGAAAAACATAGCAGAATATTCGTTGGCATCGTTTTGGGTTGTGTTGGGCGTACAGCAATTGTACGATTTGTATATGTGGCATATGTGGTATTAATAGTATCTTAGATAACTAATGCGGTAAACAAAGAAGACGTACAGTACTTACAAATCCATGTTTATCACTAATATTGTTGGTCAATTTTAATTTGTGAAAGGAAACAACTTTCTGCATCCATTGCTCACCCGTTGTGGGCGAATCTGGATGGATATACATGCGTTTTGGCATCTCCGGATCCGCCTTGCCGGCCACCATCCAGCGACTGCAACAGAGGGGGAGAGACGGAAACGAAAGACCGACAAAATTATTACATTCCAATGGCAGGCGGCAGGAGGATGATCCTTTCCCAGACTTACCTATTATGAAATTTATAACGATAATCGTCCGCCGCAACGATATCCAGTAGCAAGATGTATTTAGCCTTGGCGTCCAGTCCCGAAACACGAAATTTCATTTGCGGGAACATTTGTCTGCGAACGAAGAAGCAAAAATGTGGGATTATATTAGGAGTCGACTCTTGTGGTGTGGTTCTGCGTGGTTCAGTGTGGTTCGGTGTGGTTCGGTGTGGTTCGGGGGCCTGGTAATCAAATAAAACATTAATCAGTGCGGCATATAAAGCCTAAATGCTGCAACGGTTTGATGCTCTCCGTTCTGTTTTGCTTGGTTTGGTTCTCAGGGGCCCACCGCCGGGCAAGATCAGGACCAGTCCTCAGTTCCCAGTCCCCAGTGCCCTGACGGTACCCCTCGCTAACCACACACACATACACACACACACACACACGCACACAATCATCATCATCATCATTATCAGAGCCAGAGCCAAAGCCAAGCCAGATTCGGAGTCTCTCCAAGACTCCACTCGAGTCGACTCCAAGTCCCGGAGTCCCTGGCTAAAGCAAACAAACCCAAACGTCGACCAGTCGGGGCCAGGTTATCAAGTGGCGCCAAGCCACAAATTGTTTCGACTTGCCTCTGCCTCCGCCTCCGCCTCGACTTGCCTTGCAACTCGAATTCAAATTGGCCAAAGCCAGAGAGAGAGAGAGAGAGAGAGAGAGCGCTCTGGGCTCTTGGCCCTGGTCTTGGCCGGGTTGATTAGCCATGTTGGTGGCAATGTGCAAACTCGAAAATTACATGGCCCCAGCCCTGGAGGGAACACACAGGCAGGCAGGCAGCCAGGCAACAGTCGATGTCGTGGACCATCCACCCAAAAAGGGACCCAGAGTCGCCGCTGCCGCTGCCGCTGCCGCTGCTGCTGCTGCTGCTGCACCCTCAATACACACACATATAAATATGAAAATTATAACTTTAAGTAGCAATCACTCAATCGCTGCGACTGCGACTGCGCCTCGTCCCCAGGTCCAGATACACGTCCACGTTCACAGCCACAGCCACAGCCAGAGCCACGTCTGAGGCTACGGCTATGGCTCAGGTCCAAGCGCCTTCGTCTTCGCCTCATGAATCAAATTTAACGAACGTCTTGTTCATGTTCACAGATCATCATCAGCTGCGACTGCATTTTTGATAAAAAGAAGTAAAGAAAAGAGACAAAAAGAACCAACAAAAGGCGAGCCAGAGAGCCGGAGAGCCAGAGCCAGAGCCAGAACCAAGGCGAGAGCGGCTAACAAGCTGCTGACTGATGTCCGACTTGACTGACGGACTGACTGACTCGGGCTCGAGCTCGAGTCGAGGGATCCGATCGGGATCGGGATCGGAACCGAACGCGGCAGGGGAGGGGCAGGCGCAGGCCCAGGCCCAGGCCAAGTCGGAGGATGTTTCTATTTAGAGAAGAAGACTCTCTGCCCCTCTCTTTCTTTCTCTCTGGACTCTCGGACTGGGACCTGACTTGGGGCTGGGGGACGGGGGACTTTGGACTGGGGCCCGGGCCCGGGCCTGCCTCTCGTCTGCCTTTTTCGACTGCAAATTATTTTTTATTTGCCAAGGAACCAAGGCACGTCTGTCTGCCAGCGAGGGCTTTGCTTGGGTTCTCTTCTTTTTTGTCGTTTTTCGTTTTTGCGGATACTCTCACGCGCGTGGGGTATATCCGCGAATGGGAATACGAGGTGTCCCAGTGCATGCCACAGATGCGAGTGCTCGATGCGATGAATCATTGCCACACGGAGGACCTTCTCACAGATCTTCTCGTTCTATTACTGCAGATGGCATACCGTTCTCCTAGAGACCTTTCAGGTCCCCCACATTTGGAGCTTCAAGGAGGTGTTCTTTCTTCTTTTTTTTTTGTTGCAGGACAGGGGGGTTCCTTCAAGGGTATTTAAGGCTTCGGCCCGCCTTCCCCCCGTTTGGGCTTGCTCTTTTTTTGTGTGTGTTTCGGTTTTTGTTTTTTCTTTTTTTGTTGCCTGTGTTGCTTTTGTTTTTGTGTGTTGTCTTAACTGAATAGCTCGTTAACATTATTGAGCACTTGGCGCCAGTTGTTGGCAGCTTGTTATGGCCGGGGCCCGGGTTTTGGGCCAGACCAGGCCAAGTCGCCAAGTCGCGCCATAGCCCCAAGCGAAACGAAGCCAAATGGAGCCAAAGACGGAGCCAAAGTCAGAGCCAGAGCCAGAGCCAGTCCTGGGCCACACCACACGCGCACAAAATATCTCTGGCTCTGGCTCTGGCTCTGGCTTTTGGGGCTGGGAGCGTTCGGCGACTGCGCCAAATGTGCGATCCTCGCCTCGCCTCCCCTTCCCTCCCCCGCCCCTTGCGCTCTGTGCTCGACAACAAAACGATTTGCTCTCGTTTGTGTTGGAGCCTCGTTGCTCCTGCTCAGGCTTCAGCATCAGCTTCATCTTCAGCTGCTGCTGCTGCTGCTGAGGGCTCTCTTTGGGCTGCAAGAGCTCTTGGGGCTGAGATTCAGGTTCGTGCAAATCGTTACGTGTAAAACTTGCACCTTTTGACCAGAGCGATGTTTGTTTTGCAGCTTCTTCTGGGGGTCCCACACACGCACACACCACACACACACACACACACACACACACACACACACACACATTTTACGAACGGGAACGCGACTGCGGCTAATTCAATTTCCCCTCCATCAAGCTGGGACACCTCCCCACCCCGCCCCCTCGCTGCTTACCCCTCAACAACGGGGTGGAGCGGCGAATGGGGTTCCATGAGCCCATAATTAAGCCTAATTAAGCGCAGTGCGTTTGTGTCTCCCCCTCTCTCCCTCCGTCTCTGTGATGTGTGTGTGTGTGTGTGTGTGTGTGTGCAAAGGTGTCGCTCAGTTGTCCTTCAGTGTCCTGGCCCTCTCGTACACTCGTCACTATTGGGGTTAATGGCTAATCAATTAGCCGGGGCCCCGCCGATGCCCGCAGTGGCAATGAAAATAAAATGCTCACCGATTGAGTTGTAATTGGGTTTTGTGCTCTTCCTCCGTTTATTCGCTCATTCAGGGACGGTACAGTGGCGCGGACTCGGACAGCCAGGACAGAGGAGTGGAAGAAAGCCTCAGACTGGCAAAGGAACATTGATCATTGATTAAAGGCAGAGCAAAACAGATCAACGGTTCAATGACGAAACAGGATAAATGAGCCCCAGATGGGCATCCTTTCTCCTAATTCTCCCATCGATTCCACTCGAGACGCACAAGCGAGAATTGCAAAAGAACACAATTACATGTCGTGTGCATGATTCTCGACTCGAGCTGTACATCCTTCCGCTCAGATCAAGTTCCTCAAAAGGATGTCACATCCCGAATAGATCATCGACTGAAAGATGAGCTCCCAAAACATTCCAAACCGATAGACAATCTCCAGCTGAGAATTGAGTTGTACAGTTGGAACAGGGGACATGGGACATGGGACACGAAAGGTCAGTCAGGGTACTTTTCGGTGGCCATGTAATCGATTAGGCGATTGCATCGGACGAGAGGAGAGGAGAGTAGAGGAGAGGGCAGGTGGTGACATCTGTGTGTGTGTGTGAGCTCTCCGCCCTGTTATCGTGGCCGGGGGCTAAACGGCGTCTATTAACGCACCTGTGCGCCCTCCACTTCAATCGATACGACTGGACGGGGCACAGGGCAGGGCAGGGCAGTGCAGGGTCTGCCTTAGAAGCGCCAATGCATTATCTGATAGTCAATCAAACGACAGCAGCCCGACGAGGAAAAACATGAGAGAAGAGGAGATGCAGGCAATGGCAATGTCAACAGCGCGCCACAGCTGATCATCGCGATGATGATCGGAATTGGATGTAGGAATGGGAATGGGAATGGGAATGGGAATGGGAATGGGTACAAAGCAGAAGGGCCAGAGGGACAGCAGAGGCACCGACACAACAAACCAAACAGAGGTCGATCGGTCCTTAGCTGTCCGTTCGTCTGTTTGGCTGTCCCCTGTCCTATCCCCCTGCCAGTCTGTGGGTTCTGTCCATCGCCAGGGGCTGGCTTGCAAAACGCTTGCATTCGTTGTCTTTGTCAACAAGGCGCGGGGATTAAAGTAGCACCTGCAGTTCTGTTGACCGAAAAGGAACCAAAAATGTAAGGGCTAGGGGTTGGGGCCCTACTGCCGCTGCCCCTACTGCCGCTGCCCCTGCTGCCGCTGCTGCTGTTGACAGTTCGCCTTTGTGACAACAAAATTGTTGTCGACTTTTTGTCGTTTTGTTGTTGCTGTTGCTGTTGTTGTTGTTTCGTTGGAGGAAACCGCTTTAATCTTTGGCCAAGTTTGTCAACACATTTGGCCATCTCTGGAGGATCTCTGGGACATGGATATGGGTGCATATTCAGCAGGCTTACATCATTTGCCTAGAAGGAGGAACATCTGTCAGTCGGTTGTTTTTTCTTCTTCTTTTTTTTTTGTATTATTTTGGGGACATTTCGATTGCATTTAATTTGAATTTTATTGAATGACAATTGCATGCAAATTATTGCCTTGCCGGTTCCTTCCTGAATTTTTGAATTTTACAGGAGCCTGGCAAATGGAAATGGGGAAACGGAGATCGATATGGGAGATGGGAGATGTGAGATGGGAAATAAACTTGTAGATGGATATTTGACAAATTTGTGGCGCACAGGCATACAGCTCTCTCGACCGCAGAAAAGGACAATGGGAACCTGCAAGGCAGCTGCATCATAAACGTTAATTACCCCTACAGAAAGGAGGAGATACTCGTATATTGTATGCATGAGAGGCAGAAGAGAAGATTGAGAGGATCGGGGGCAAATTAGTTAAACCAATAAACTGACAGGCGGAGGCCCAGGCAGAGACAGAGGCACAGGCAGGGGCACAGGCACAGGCCCAGGCCCAGGCCCAGGACAGACTGGATATGCAATATATCAAGTCTATATAATAATAAAACAATTTATGAAGGCATAACAACTGCCCCAAGACCTCAGTCCTCGTAAACTCCTCGGCCAACCTCTCCTTTGAGAGCTCCTTTGTGTGTGTGTCTCGGGCTGTCAGTTAGCGGGAACGCCCACTCTCTCGAAAGTGGCAGTGGAACTCGTTGTGGCCCAAAATGAATGGCCATGCCA